AAAAACAAATAAATAAACATATATATTATATTATATATATATATACATATATGCTATTAAAATTTCTATTTACTTTTCATTATTTTCTGGAACTTGGTTCCACCAATTCATTGCAGGATCAGTCATTTTCGAAATGATATCAGGAAGAGCATTGTACAGATTTTGGGTCCTTGGTGGACATTTCTTTAAAAAATGTTCGGCCAAGGTTTTCAAAGCATCATCTTCGTCGACCAAAAACAAAGCAATGTCTGATATGTAACTTTTTGGTCTCATGATATTTGTTAAAATCAACTGGCAGATGAATTTTAGGCCAATCTTCTTCACCTCGGAATTATCATCCTTTAATCTGAAATTGAGATATAATTGGGTGTAAGTGACGCCCAATATGTAGCAGTCTTTTACCTTTACCTTTCAAAAACATAAAGCTCCCACGGCTCACGACGGTCGGAAACCTGAACAGCAAATCAGCGAATCCAACAATGATATTCGTCTTGACAACAGGAAATTTGGAATGTCTCAAAACAGTCATCAGCAACTGGATGTTCTGCCGACATGCCTCTGAAGAGATGCACATAAAACTCATCAAAGCGCCAGAGGCATCGACTTCCAAATCGTCATCATCGAACTTGTTCCTATGCTCCAGAATATCTTTGACGAAAGGTAAAACGTAACTGAACGCTGCAGGCTCTTGCAGGAGTTCCTTTTCCATGATGTCGTTGACGAAGTTTGCTTCCAAATCGTCGGAATTGATGCACTCTTGGTATTCGTTGTCTTCGTTGTCGTCGTCCATGTGCGATTTCTGTAGAAAATGATTTTTTCGATGGAAACATGATAGGATACAGCTATTATTATTACATTAATATTACAAAATATCACTTACATAACTCTGATTATTTCTAATGCTCCTAGAAGCGGATTGCAACTTCGATGCCCTAGGATTCGAATTGACGCTCGGTGTCTCCGAGGAAGTACTTTGCCTGGTGTTCTGCTGTATTTCTTTCCTTCTACCCAACTCACTGTAGACGTTGAGATCGAGGAATGCAATGTGATTATTTGCAACTTGTCCGACTGTGTGCAAAATTCTGCTGACTCTCCAGGATTTCATTTTATCGTCCAGAGTCAAAGTTCCTTTATTTTCGGCATGCAGCATCGCGGAAACTAATTTCTCCATTAGCAAATGGGGCTGATCGGCACCCTGGGGTAAAGGAAATACGGGTAAGTGACATTTGTAATAATCTATCTAACACCTTAATCGCCAAATCAGTCCTATGTGTCTGACGCTAGAGAGTTCTATTCAATTCAATTCAAAGACTATATATTTCAGTATATAAAAGATAAGTATGTACATTGCATTTTATAACATGGGTTTTTTACCCGTAGGTATTGTATCCTTCATTGGATTTGGTTTTGCAAACAATAATTAATTCACAATATGTAATAAATTCATATTTGTGTGACAAAAAAGAGGAAAGAAAATTTATCCCAAAAAAAAAATCACATAGCACTATTTATAATAACACATAATAATACAAAAAGAGAAAAACATCATAAAAATTTATTCACTCTAAGGGAGAAAATTTGTGTCGAGCCAATTTTCATTTACCGCTTTGGGTGATCAGTATATATTTTGGCATGGCGTGATTGCCATACCAAATATCGTCTCTTGTGTATTGGCCGAGGCCCGCGATGTTAATATTAGGATGATCCCCACATTTTAGATAAAAATTTTCAGTGAGCTTTTTTATAAAGTCAGTCTGTTTGTGTATGTATTTTGAAGATTAGTAATGTCTAGTCAGTGGGTCCCTTATTTTGTTGAGTACGATTAGTGTGGTGTAGTGTCTTACTTTGTAATGTCTGTAGTTTTCGTAAGTTAGTCTTAGTCGTCGCGATCCATGCCGGAGCGGCGTATGTCAGTATCGGTCTTATTAGTGTCAAGTAAAGTGTTCGCTTGTTCTTCACGCTTAGCGGGCTGTTGTGGTTCAAGAGAGGTCTCAGTAGATTTAACATCCCGTAAGCCTGTCCAATTTTTGTATTAACATGTTTTGTGAAGCTGAGTCTATAGTCCAGGGTCACACCAAGATATTTGACATCCTTGGACCACTCAACTTCACAGTCCAATACTTTAATTTTGTTAGAGAGTTCTATAGTTGTATATGATACATATATGTATGACATAAGCAATTTAGTAGAAGGTGAAAATAAATTTTAATATAGGGCCATGCCAGTCTTATATGTGTGATATACAAATTTTCTCCAGGAATTTTGGCAAAAGAAATTTCTTTATTACATTAAGTTTTTTTGATACATTTTTAACTAAATTATCTAATAAAGTTGCCATGATTAACCGTGATTAACGTGTTCAGTAATATGAATAGAAATTTAGCAACTTTAAAATTGTGGCGTTGAAATTTTGAAAATTTGACACGGCCCATTATGTCCAATTTTAAATAAACCACTTTTCACGGGCCTATAATATTTTACAGCAATTGTTGAAAACAAACTTAACTAGTTGAAGGTGCATTTAGCCTGAAGGCAAGTTGCATGAACTTCCCGGAATGTGTAAATAATATACTTAATCAATCCAATTTTATAATAAGCAACTTGATCTGCCTTTGACAATATTTTTTTATTTTATAATTATTAAAATTTATATTTATCAATATCATTGATTATAAAAAAAAAAAAATTATTCTTTTTTATTATTTTTAATATAATAATCTGAATACATAAGTGGTTCTCATTGTGACAAAATTGTATCGACGCATACGCCACGAACAATATCAAAAATCAAAAAATAGTAGTTAATTATTATAACTTGATTGAAGTAAAGAATTTCTTGGTCATTTCACGACCTTGGAGACAAAGTATATTTTCTAGGCAGAGGCTTCATTATTTTTCCAAATTGTAGAAAACGATAATAATTATTATAACTTGATTAAAGTAAAGAATTTCTTGGTCATTTCACGACCTATGGAGACGAAGTATATTTTCGATGCACTAATTATCATCTTTACCGAAAATTAATCAGTACGATTTCTAAGCATGATTTTTAGAATGGTTGTTAAATTTTCAAAATGGATTCAGTGTTGTGAGCTGAGCCGTGGACAAACATTTTTATCTTTTTCCTGAATTTTAAATTTTTCTAATCAGTTTAGTACTTTATGGGAAAACGTCGATGAAGGTCTAATTTTCACGGAAAACCGTTACTAGTATTTTTCAAACCTTGATAAATTTTTAAAATTAAACTACTTGTAGTAAGACCATGATATATATCGCCAAAAAAAAAATCCATAAAAATCGGCCTAAATTTTTGTTTCAACTGTTAATTACAAAAAAACGGCTCGGTACATTTTCACCTGAAACTAATCAGTACCATTCCCAACTAGTATCTTTCGAACAGTTTTTGATTTTTTAAAATCGGTTCGGTAGTATGAGCTTAAATGTGGACGGAAAGTTTAACACTTTTTTTCAACAGTTAATTACAAGAAAACGGCTCGGTAGATTTTCACCTAAATTAATCAGTACCATTCCCAACTAATATCTTTCGAACAGTTTTTGATTTTTTAAAATCGGTTCGGTAGGATGAGCTTAAATGTGGACGAAAAGGTTAACACTTTTTTTCAACAGTTAATTATAAGAAAACGGCTCGGTAGATTTTCACCTAAAATTAATCAGTACCATTCCCAACTAATATCTTTCGAACAGTTTTTGATTTTTTAAAATCGGTTCGGTAAGATGAGCTTAAATGTGGACAAAAAGATTAACACTTTTTTTCAAATTACAAAGAAACGTCTTGGCAGATCGTTGCACAAAACTGACAAACGATATTCCTCACCGAAATACATCAAATGGATTTTAAATTTCTAAAATCGGTTCAGGCGTTTTTGAGAAAACGTCGATCAAAAGTCTAATTTTGACAAATGCCAAGAAGACCATACTGATTTTTGCAAACTTTGACGAATTTTTAAAGCTGAACCAGTTGTCGTAGGGCCGTAATATTTTAGTATGATCTAGAAGACTATGGTATCTATCGTCAAAAAAATAATCATAAAAATCGTCGATTTTTTTTTTTTTTTAAACTTTATTACAAGAAAACGGCCCGGCCGATCTCTACCAAAAACTAATCAGCACGATTCCCAACCAATATCTTTCGAACGGTTTTTGAATTTTCAAAATCGATTCAAAATTGCGGGCTAAAACGTAGACGAAAATTTTTCACTTTTCTGCCATTTATAAAGAAACGGCTTGGCCGATCGTCGCACAAAACTGACAAACAATAGTTCTCGTCGAGATACATCGAATGGTTTTTAAATTTTTGAAATCGACCCAGCCGTTTTCGAGAAAACGTCGATTTACGGCAAAAAATCTGTTCACATACACACACACACATCCTTTTTCCAAATTTGGTCTCATTCGATTCAGAATGGCTTGAAACGTCGAAAAAACAAAATTAGCGAATCGGATTTTTTGATGAAAACATAAACTTCTCCTTCGGGAAGTTAACAATCCATTACGAAAGAATACGACAAATCGACGATTAAATGAAATCTTCTGTAATTCAAAACCTTGTTAGACAACTTATCCATTTCAGTATGCGTTACTGTTTTAGACAATTTAGAAGGTAATATATTCAAATTATATTGGTCTAGTATAAATGGTGTGTCTTGTAGAGCTCCTTAAATAAGTCTCATAAAGAACATATTGAAACAAAAGTGCGAGTGTAAAAAAATCTCTTGAACTCGGAATTTTGTTAAAATACCTATTGATTATATTATTTGGTCTTGTAATAGACACTTTGGAGTATAACATATCTGAATTTCAAGGTTGTAGAGTCCAGTAGAGCTCATTGAAAATATTAATCTTCTGAGAAGCATTTCACCCACACTTTGCATCTATTTATAAAATCGCTTTTATAACAAAATATTGTTAAAAAAATTATCAATTTTAAAATTTTATCTTATAATAGACACTTTGAAGTATAACATATCAGTATTATTAGATTGTGGTACAAGCGGTACGTCCAGTAGAGCTCTTTGAAAACATTAATCTTCTGAGAAGTATTTCACCCATAGATCACCTTCGCATATAACATATTGATAAAATATTGTTTATTAAAAAAATATTGTTAGAAAGCCTATCAATTTTATAATTTGTTATCACAATGAATACTTTGAGCTATGACGTGTCCAAATTACAAAGTTTTATTACAAACGGTGCTCTTCAAAATACCATTCAATCTTTACTGAAGAAAATCATAATCGGTTCAAGATTTGTGGCGCAAACATTGACAAAAAAATTTACTTTCCTTTTTTAATTGTAAAGAAAGGGTTTGAATGATAATCTCATAAAACTAAACAATGCTAGTCCTTAAAATCGGTTCAGCCATTTTAAAATAAACATTGATAAATTATCAAATTTTGGCTCACACACACCAAATTAGGCGTCGACAAAACATAAAATTAGCAAGTCGGATTTTCTGGCAAAAATAGTTTAAAAAAATCTCTTACCGCATATACGACAGCCACGGCCCCATTGGCAAGTTGTCTAAACGAGCCAGTAGTCGAATCATTGAAATGATGAATCACTAAATCATGAATCTTGACAAAGATTTCCTCAGAGTTGTATTTTCTCGTTACAGATTTATCAGCCGATCTCGATAGAGAAGCTGTGCTGGTCCACATATTTCTTAGCATCTGAAGAGTGTGTATCGCATACTGTATATCGGTTTTGCTGAAATCGTCCAGGAGCGTAGACGTAACCACAGACAAATTGGTCCAGACAACGTTCGGCTTATTACTAGAAAAGGATAGAACAAAATATACACAATTTATTATTATTAGAGTTACGAGTCACGCTATATAACCAAAATCAAATATGTACTTACACTGCTATAAGTGACAATACGACGAGACAGGCATAGATATCATTGTCGGAAGTGCCTTCAATTTTCTTAGTGATCATTTCCCAACAAAGTTGGATAAGACTCGGACTTATCATATCATCCTTGATCCAATACTTGAATAAGAGACACATTGGATCTCTGTGGCTTTTCTTCATTTTACAGACGACGAAGCAGAGCTTTTTCAGTATATTGGCTGCATCCAGCCTAGATAGAGAATATTTATAAATAATAATAATAATAATATTAATAATATATATATATATATATGGAGAATTTTGTATCATCTATCCCCCCTACCTAGTGTTATTGCTCTTATCATCCATAAATATCTCGGTCATCATCTTATACACCTGTTCTTTATTCTCCTTCTGTGTTACAAGCAAATATAAAACTTGCAATAAGCTATCGTAAGCAGAACTGATTCCGAGATCAATAGAAGATGCAAAAAATGTTATCGCCTCATTGGAGTCATGGGCGGCCTTCGAAAACAGCATCTTTTCGATGATAGGCAGAGCTTTGGAGATGATTTCAGAGAACTGAATTGTCATTTTTAATATCTCGATCATCTAAATGAAAACATAGATAAAAATAATAATGGTAATGGTTTGTTGATATTATTATAAGATTTCTTACACTTGTTTGCTCGTCGATTTGTTTTTTCAAATCTTCAGAAATAGGGGCGACGTCATTGCCTTGGTTTTTCGGTTTACTCTGAAGCACCAGTTTTGTGATGACGCAAAAGAAGTATTGGGGTAGATCTTTTAATTCCATATCTTTCCTGAAAAAAAGAGCATCAAAATCATTATGAGGCAATTCTGCCGTAACAGAGTTCATAACATAGCGTTGTCATCGTTACGCTATTCTTAGGCATTTTAATTGGTAGTGAAAATTGTAAAAATGTCTAACTATTTGCTGTGTGATCAGGCGTATTTTACAAATAAACAGGCAAAGAAGAATGTTATGATAACAGAATCTTTGATGATGTAGTTATCATAAGATTCTTCCTTGCTTGTTTATACGTAAAATACGCCTGATCGCATGGCAAATAGATATACATTTTAATTATATAACCCATAATAATTTGATAATAATGCACTTGTTTAAATAATGATGCACTTGTTTATTGTATCTGTTGTAACTTTTGAACTGTTCGTTTAATACAAATAAAATATTAGATAAAATTGTACAAAACTAGTTGTTTGGTATTTAGCCTTGAGGCAAGTTACATGAACTTCCCGATATGTTTAAATAATCGGCTTAATCAATAAAAAATAAATTCATTTATGAGTGATTAAAAGTATTCCGAGTGATTTCATTACACATAATTGAAAACGAACGAACACTTTGACTCGGAGTATTTTCTAAAAACAAAATTTCAAAAATCAATAATTTTTATAATTGAACCAGTTTCCGTAGGACTTTAATGGTTTATTATGTTCAAGACCAAGTACTGTATCATTATGCCAAGTAAATAGTCTAATTTTAATTTTAATTAATGTCAAAAGAACTACTCATTTTCTCAAATTTTGATGATTTTTTTGATTCTCAAATTTTTAGAATCAAACTATTTGTCGTAAGGCCGTAATTTTAGCAAGTTGTATAAGACCATGGTGTATATCGCTAAAAAGAAATCCATAAAAATTTTCAACAGTTAATTACAAGAAAACGGCTCGGTAGATTTTCACCTAAAATTAATCAGTACCATTCCCAACTAATATCTTTCGAACAGTTTTTGTTTTTTTAAAATCGGTTTGGTAGGATGAGCTTAAATGTGGACGAAAAGTTTAACACTTTTTTTCAAATTGCAAAGAAACGGCTTGGCAGATCGTCGCCCAAAACTGACAAACGATAGTCCTCGCCGAAATACATCAAATGGCTTTTGAATTTCTAAAATCGGTTCAGGCGTTTTTGAGAAAACGTCGATCAAAGGTCTAATTTTGACAAATGCCAAAAAACGATACCAATTTTTGCAAACTTTGACGAATTTTTAAAGCTGAACCAGTTATCGTAGGGCCGTAATATTTTACTATGATCTAGAAGACTATGGTATCTATCGTCAAAAAAATAATCATAAAAATCGTCGAAATTTTTTTGTTTAAAACTTTATTACAAGAAAACGGCCCAGTCGATCTCTACCAAAAACTAATCAGGTCGATTCCCAACCAATATCTTTCGAACGATTTTTGAATTTTCAAAATCGATTCAGAATTGCGGGCTAAAACGTGGGCGAAAGATTTTTCACTTCTCTGCTATTTACGAAGAAACGGCTTGGCCGATCGTCGCACAAAACTGACAAACAATAGCCCTCATCGAGATACATCAAATGGCTTTTAAATTTTTGAAATCAGTACAAAACGGTACAGTCGTTTTTGAGAAAACGGCGATTTACGGCAAAAAATCTGTTGGTGCACACGCACACACACACACACATACTTTTTCCAAATTTGGTCTCATTCGATTCAGAATGGCTTGAAACTTCGAGAAAACAAAATTAGAGAATCGGATTTTTTGATGAAAACATAAACTTCTCCTTTGGGAAGTTAATTAAATCATTCATAATGTTAACGCCTCATTTCCAACCCTGGTATAATTATTATATTTTATTATCTCCATGCAGGATAGCGACAATAAACCCTCATCCTTTATTATATAATTTAAAACGATAAAATAATCCCTTTCATTGTTACGCATCCTGTCCCAAAATCGGTCATCATATCAGTAATCCATTTTTCCTAGAATTTTTATCACCTGTCCCTAACTATATCATCCTATCATCCTTATATTTCCAAGAAATTCGCACTACCTATACCCAGTTTAAATTCTCCGTATCATGCAATCACCAACCAATACCTGATCGGTTGATGAATGTAATAACCACTGATTGGTTCCAAAATTGTAATGGGGTTTAGTATCAACTTAAATTTCACATAGTTAGGATCAGTCGTAAATTAACACTCAAAACTATAACATCTAACTCAAACTTCAACTATCTAATCATCTATAAGTCTAAATAAGTAATATACGTTAATTAAACATTTATTTATCATCTTTTATTTTTATTATTCAAACGGTCTGATATAGCCAATAACTAAATATATCTGGTCCTACGACAAAGTGCAAGTGTTCAATAGAGTTCGGCAGCATCCAGATAGATCACAAACTTCTTAAACACTTTGAATCTATTTTACAAACATACTTTTTTGGCCATTCAAACCGAATGGTCAATTTTAATAAACACTTAATATGATCTAACACTTCAAAGCCCTACTGCAACGCGGTATACTTTAAAATGGCTTTTGAAACGAGAGAAATGCACCAGACAAACAATCAAGAATTAAACTGTATATAAAGTTATTGTACCTGTGTAACTTTTAAACCGTTCGTTAAATTAAAATATTCAACAAATTTGTGCAAAATTAAATTATTTATAATACTGTTTAATAGTCCATAGCCCTACAGCAACTCGGTATACTTTAAAATGGCATTTGAAACAAGACAAATGTACCAGAAAACTAAATGTATACAGTTATTGTATCTGTCATAACTTTTAAACCGTTTGTCTAATATAATTAAAATATTTGACAAATTTGTACAAAATTAAATTATTTTTAATATTGTCTAACATTTCAAAGCCCTACGGCAACTCGGTGTACTCTAAAATTGCATTTGAAATGAAACAAATATACCGATGAACGATCAAAGTGAATTGATAATGCAGATTTGTAACAATTTTAATATCATTTAATGTATTATCCCAAACTGATAATTCTCCACATACCTTGCATCCGTTTCATTTATTTGACGTTCCACATAAATAGTATATTTCAGTAGATCATCATATTTTTGCTCGGTGAAAGCTTTTAAAATAAGCTCGTCGATTGAATCGAATTCCTCTTCTTCAAATGCCATCTCGTCGTATAATTTTATAGTTGCATCTAAAAACATACAAAACGTAAATATTAAAAAAGTGAGATAAACTTTTTCGACACGTGAAAAAGCAAAGACGTCGACCCGGTTGCTTCAGCGCCCGGGTCGACACGCCTACGATGTTATGCCTACGAAATGCAGACACGAAAAAAATTATATCAACTATTGCTTTACCATACCTGTTGCAAATGCATTTTCTAAAAATGGCATCAGGGCGGTTTTGCATTCATCTTTAATCTTTTCCAAGTCCGCCTGATGCGGTTGCTCACGCAAACTTGCCAGCTTTTCTATGGCATTCTGTAAACTCTGATGCAAAACATCGTTGTCCATCTATATGAATTATAATTGATAAATCAAAAACAAATATTCCACATATTTTATATAAATAAGTATGTATAATTTTTCTACTCACCGGTACATCCGATGGTCGATTTTTGATGAATTCTTTCAGAACAACAATTGCATTCTTTCGAACCAATATGCCTTTGTCACACAAACGTCCAACCGAACGATCCATGATCTTCAGGAGCCACGATAAAGGAAGGGCTGAGTCTTTTAATAATTTTGCAAAAACTTGCAAAACCTAAAAACAGGAAAAAGTTGACGAAAGCTACTAATGGTTATAACATATCGATCTATTTTGACCCGAAAGGTTAAAATTAATTAAAAGTCGTGGATTATTAACTTCTCGAAGGGTTGGTTATAGTAATAGGCCAAAAATCGAAAATGAAAATTTTTACATATCTTCAAGTTTCAGGGACTTCTGAATATGTTGGTATACCTCAGAAACAATTGTGTGTGTGTATGTATGTATGGATACAATTTTACGTCCACCTTTTACGTCGCAGGGATCGACCGATTTGTATGGTTTCAAAAAACATTCGATTTGTATTGATAGGGAGATGTGCTGGTTTTTGACAAAGGTAGAACCAAATGTTTCGGAGATACGGAGCAAAAGAGTGCAAAAAAAAAGAAATCGAGTTTTTGAGAGAACGGAGCCTCCGATTTGAATGATGCAAAAAACATTCAATTTGTAATGATAGGGAGAAGTGGTAATTGGTTTTTGGCAAAGGCAGGTCCAGTCGTTTTGGAGATACAGAACTAAATGTGCAAAAAATTGCAGTTTTTGAGAGATTATTTTGGGGAAAAGATTTTTTTAACTTCCCTTAGGGTAAGTTATTGTAATGGGCCGAAAATCGGAATTGAAAATTTTTACATTTCTCGACGTTTTGAAGGTTTCTGAACGTTTTGGCATACCTCAGAAAAAATGGATGTGTGTGTGTGTGTGTGTGTGTGTGTGGATACAAATTTCCAGTCACGTTTTAGGGCGCACGGATCAACCGATTTGAATGGTTCAAAAAACATCCGATTCCTATTGATAGGGAAAAGAGCTGATTAGTTTTTTGGCAAAGGTGGGTCCAGCCGTTTCGGAGATACGGAGCAAAGAGTGCAGAAAATAGAAATCGTATTTTTGATAGAACGGAGTATCCGATTTGAATGATCTAAAAAACATTCAATTAGTAATGATGGGGAGAAGTGTTTATTAGTTTTTGGCAAAGGCAGGCCCAGCCATTTTGAAGATACGGAGCTAAATATGTAAAAAATGGCAGTTTTTGAGAGAACTAAGCGTCCGATTTAAATGATTCAAAGAACTTTCTGCTTGTCTTAACAAAATAATCGATTTTGGAAAAAAAATTTGACCCATTTTTTTTTTTTTTTAGTATTTTGTATATCGAAAATATTTGTTTTTAATTCTGACTATAGTTCTAATATACTTTACAAATAATTTCAACTCTGCAATTCAGTTTATATAATATTTATAAATATTAGACAATGTTACAATATTTATAATAATCTATTTGGAAACATTCAGTAATCCTCGAACATTTCGTTACGGTACGGGAAGTTCCAGCAATTTGCCTTAAGGCACGATGCCACCCACCCCACTAGTTCAATTTTTTTTTTAATTTCCAAAAAAATTTTTTTTTGAATATCGAAAATAATTCGGATTTTTTAAATTTTAATTCGGTACGGATGTTCCAGCAATTTGCCTCAAAACACGAAGCCAAGCACCACTAGTTTTTCCTATTTTACAAATTGTAGCTGTAATGTTATAATATAAATTAGGCTACTTCATTATTACATATGTTACTTGTTACCCGATAATATGATTTTTTAGTAATATTTGATGATTTAATAAGCCGTTTTTTCGTAATAAATTGTTGAAAACATTTTTATTTTAACGAGTACTGAACCAATAAGAAAACAACATCTAAGTTTATAAATTTTAAGTTTTGCGCATTCAAAGTTTAACTGTTTTTTTCTCAACAATTTTGTTCTAAGAGTGTTAAATTGTTGTAAATATAATTGTAGATAATATAATTAGCTTTCTAAGAATATATAATGATAATATTATTTTTAATTAAAATATAACAAAATAAATGCAATTTTAAACCAAAGCGTTGAAGCCAAAACGATGTGCGCGTCTGACGACGATATTAATTGCAAAGTTCAATAAATTATTTTTATATAAACTTGGTCTAAAAGTTACAAAATGTTATATACCGATTTATGGATGAGTTTATTGACTTTTTAGTCATATATCATCTTCTTATATATAAAAATAGAGCTCTCGATCAAATGATCTGGTAAAATTCGACAACGGCTAAACCAATTTGGCCAGTCTTAGTCTTAAAAAATTCATGCCAATCCAGAGATAGTCGGAAAGGTGAGATAATATTTCAAAATCGCGTAGTAACTTTACATTTTTAATTTGAAAATTTTTGTAGAAGCGTAATTTAAATAAAACAATGGACGGTGGCTAATACGTGAAATGTCAAACATTTTTCACAGATGATGTTCAATTAAGTTGAATAGGATGTTTTACGTGAATATTATTTAATTATGTAGTAAGTAGTTTTGTTTGTAGTTTTATTTATATTCAAAAACGTTATTAAACGGGCCGCAAGTGTTACTATAAACTTAAAATATTAACTTTTTTGAAATGTTACTTTCAAACTTTTTGGCTTTTGAAGACTTTGCTATTTGAATACTTTGCTATCGGGAGATAAACAGTGATCTTTGAAAATCCATAATAAAAGTATTTTCTTCCGTTGGTAGATTTTTAGCACTAGTTAAAAATGTAATCATTTTGTAAAATACTTTAAAATTAAAATAAGACTTTAAACCTGTTTGCCACCTGGCCATTCCAAGTTACCCCGCCTATAGGGTAAAAAGGTCTAGATAACAAATTTTTGAAAGACATAAAAAAGCACATTTCTACTGTGATAAAGTAGAAGACAGTTTTACTAAACGTAGTCAGATAATTGTTCGTTTGTAATTTGCTATTTGTTGTAATATAATTGTTATGGTTTTTACAATATAGTTAATATTTGCTCAAGGTCAAATTGGACCTTTGTGCCTCGCCCTACGCTACATATATACTTTTTGTTAAATTTACTTTAACTCGTCAAATGTAACTTGAAACTTTTCAAAAAGCAGGTCAAAGAAGAAATACTTAATTCATTTTCTATCTCTCCTCGCGGAAATTTGAAAAATTTGTATAAGTTTATTAGTATTATTTACAATTATACACAAAATCCAGAATCCAAAAAATCTGAAAAACTTGAAAGGTAATCAATAAGTCAAAAGACCAAAAAAGACAGATTGGATTATACCAGCTTTCTATAGAAAGTGTATAAAACTGTGTTTGATTGTGTTGACAAAATATAGACAAACTAATTAGATGTATTGTTTTTATAATACCTCATTGTATATAGCATTGAAACAACACATCCTTATACACATAAAGTATTAATACTTTCGATTCTCTAGAAATTGTTTAGAATAGACCTTACTTAGCAAAACAACGTTCGCCGGGTCAGCTAGTATATATAAATATATACATATAAATATATACATATATATACATATATATATATATATATATATATATATATATATATAAATGTTCGTAAATGAATTTTTCAAACCTTTGACCGAATGCCAGCAGCAACATCATGCAACATATCATATAAATCCTCAAGTAAACCATCTCTGATTTCTTTGTCTTCCTGGCTTAATCCTTCAACATTATAGACTTGTCTCAAAATCTCTCCAATTATACTAACATAACATATTCGAATACTGGGAATCTGCAAACAAACAAACAAATGTACAAAACAAAACAATTATACATATATGTAATTCCTATTTACATCGAAATTCTCAACCGACTGAATATCCCCCAACAAAGGCACCATTTCCTTGGGCCTCACCACCGCCAAATCATTCACAAAATTCATCATCTGCTTCAAATCGACGCTGTCACCACTCGATTCTTTCTCAACGAGGACCAGAATTTCCTTGGTGAGAATACTAACAATGGAATTGATTTCAAAGTTGTCTTTTATTTGAAGCACGCCTTGTATTAATGTGTTCTGGTAGTTTATATCTGTGTTTTTGATGATGTGAACGAATTTTATGACAAAGGTGCTAGCATGATTGTAGCTTTTGAGAAGGTTGCCGAGAATCTGAAATATCTTTTCACGGATTACTTCTGATTTTGAAAAGTTGTGATCTTTTAAGCTTTCGTAGCAGCAGTTGCTCAGAAGCCTAGAGGAAAGGATAAAAGTAATAATAAGTAATAAGTAATAGTAATAAGTAATAGTAAGGGTAGTCCTTAGTATGGACATTTTCGAATTTCCTTGCTCCCAAGGACTCAAATGATTCCAAATTGTTAAAAAACAAGTCTTTAAAAGTTTTAGCTCTTAATATTGTCATTTAAATAGTGCGCAATTCAATCTAAGGTTTGTATGGAAATAGTATGAAAAAAACTTCAAAAATTTTAAAAATGTTTTTAGATATAATTTAGCAAACAAATGAATGAGTTTTATTCAAAATTTGTCGCTAAGTTATACCTAAATTTTTTTTTTTAATTTTCAAAATTTTTTGCACTATCTAAAAGTTAATATTAAGAGCTTAAACTTTCAGAGAATAGTTTTTTATCAATTTGGAACCATTTGAGTCTTTGGGAGCAAGGAAATTCGAAAATATCCATATTAAGGACCACCCTAATACACATACACACACACACACACACATACACATATATCTTATATTTAAAAATGGAGCTCTCTTTCAAATGTCGAAAGTAAAACTCGAAAACGGCTAAACCGATTTGACAAGTCTTAGTCTTGAAAAATTCATGCCAATCCAGAGATAGTCCGAAAGTTGAGATATTATTTCAAAATCCCGTAGAAACTTTACATTTTTAATTTGAAAATTTTTGTTGAAGCGTTATGTAAATAAAACAATGGACGGTGGCTAATACTTGAAATGTCAAACGTTTTTGACAGATGATCGATTATGTTTAATGGGAGGTTTTATGTGAATATTATTTAATCATGATTAAATTGTAGCAAGTAGTTTTGTTTGTTTATTTTGTTTTATTTACCTTCAAAAACGTTAGTAAACGGGCCGCAAGTGTTACTAGAAACTCAAAATATCAACTTTTTTGAAATGTTAATATGAAAATGCACTTTTTGGCATATTTTTCTCAAGCACGAAGTTCTGAAAGATCTCATTTGTATCATTAATTACTCATTGGTATTTATAAAACATTTTCTAGGTTATATTATTTTTTATTTATGTAATTTAAATTCAGACTCTAATTTGGTATTGATCAAATGGTCATTTTGTCGAATAATATTTTCTCAATTATAATTTCCCACAATTTATTGAAGAATAGATAGTAATATGTGAAGGTGCGGGGTTAAAAAGGTCCACCACCGATGTGTCAAAAATCAGTAAAGTTAAGCATTGTTTACCAACAATATTTGAAAGTAGAGGAAAAAGGATGTATAACCAGCTACAATCTTGATTTAAAGACTTTGCTATAGGGAGATAAACAGTAATCTTTGAAATAATAAAAGTATTTTCTTCCGTTGGTAGATTTTTAGCATTACTTAAAAATGTAATCATTTTGTAAAATCCTTTAAAATTAAAATAAGACTTCAAACCTGTTTGCCACCTGGCCGTTTCAAGTTACCCAGCCTATAGGGTAAAATTGTCTAGGTAACAAATTTTTAAAAGGCATAAAAAAGCACATTTCTACAGAAACTTTTCAAAAAGCAGGACAAATAAGAAATACTTAATTCATTTTTTGTCTCTCCTCTGAAATTTGAAAATTTTGTACAAGTTCAGAAGTATTATTTACAATTATACACAAAATTCAGAATCCAAAAAGGTTCTGAAAAACTTGAATCGTAATCAATAAGTCGAAAGACCAAAAAAGACTTGAATTGGATTATACTATGTTTTCTATAAAAAGTGTATAAATCTTCCAGTTTGATTGTATTGACAAATATAGACAAACTAATGGGGTTTATTGTTTTTATAATACCTCATTATACTAGTATTCAAACAACACATCCTTATGCACTTAAAGTATTAATATTTTGATTCTCTAGAAATTGTTTAGAATAGACCTTACTTAGCAAAACAACGTTTGCCGGGTCAGCTAGTATATATATATATATATATATATATATTTTGTAGAGTTTCGAACAAGAATCCAAAAATAATACAAAATAAAAAACAAGAAAAGTTTTAAAAAAAACAATTTCTTTATTTAATTATTTGTTTATTGTCGACGTTTCGGAACTAGGTACGTTCCATCTTCAGGACATCTGTCAAGAAACATGATCTTGATGAGATTTTAGCAAACAATATGTTTAGGAAAAGAAAATAGATTTTTTTTTTTAAATAATGAATTAATTGTAAAAAAATATAATAATGTACAGAAATATGATAATATGTTCAAAATGAAAATGATAAAAATGATAAAAATAAATGAGTGGATTATCAGAACAGGATATTAAACATAATAGAAAATTTTTTGAAAGTTATGGAAATTTTTTAAGAAAAGGTTAATGACAAAGTTGAATTAATTACCTGTATGTTTGAATATTTGTTAGCACTTTTTCACTAAACAAGCTTTTTTAAACAAAAATGAATTTGTGAGTTAATTTTCCGCCGAATAATTAGATTTTGTAAATCAAAATTACTAAAAGATTTGTCTTTTTTTTAAATTATTATTTGAAAACACAAATAATATTGTTCTCTGGATGTTGTTCGATTGGCTTTAGAAAATTAACTAATTGAAACTGGTGTGTCCTTTGTAACACGTGTAAACACTTGAAACAAGATTGTATGTGTGTGTTTTTTCATGTTAGGGTGTAAATACTTAAATTATTGAACTTAAAAGGAAGTCGATATTATAATCTCACAATTCTCGTTTCAATTGTTTACACGTGTTACAAAGGACACACCAGTTTCAATTAGTTAATTTTCTAAAGCCAATCGAACAACATCCAGAGAACAATATTATTTGTGTTTTCAAATAATAATTTAAAAAAAAAGACAAATCTTTTAGTAATTTTGATTTACAAAATCTAATTATTCGGCGGAAAATTAACTCACAAATTCATTTTTGTTTAAAAAAGCTTGTTTAGTGAAAAAGTGCTAACAAATATTCAAACATACAGGTAATTAATTCAACTTTGTCATTAACCTTTTCTTAAAAAATTTCCATAACTTTCAAAAAAATTTCTATTATGTTTAATATCCTGTTCTGATAATCCACTCATTTATTTTTATCATTTTTATCATTTTCATTTTGAACATATTATCATATTTCTGTACATTATTATATTTTTTTACAATTAATTCATTATTTAAAAAAAAAAAAATCTATTTTCTTTTCCTAAACATATTGTTTGCTAAAATCTCATCAAGATCATGTTTCTTGACAGATGTCCTGAAGATGGAACGTACCTAGTTCCGAAACGTCGACAATAAACAAATAATTAAATAAAGAAATTGTTTTTTTAAAAACTTTTCTTGTTTTTTATTTTGTATTATTTTTGGATTCTTGTTCGAAACTCTACAAAATATACACAAATCCAAGACTCTACCATTCAATATATATATATATATATATATATATATATATATATGGGTGAGTTCTTGTAGGGCAATACATCAAAGAATTAATTTTTCTCTTATATTAATAGTTTCTATACCAATCCACATATATTATACTAATATATCATATATTACCTAGTTATACTAATTTTTATACTGTTTTTAGATCCACTGATGATGGCAATAAATTGAATGTCGAAACGTTTGAAATTAAAAATTAATTTATAAATCTTTTCTTCTTATTCTTTGATGTATCGCCCCAAAAGAACTTACTCATATATCTCAACATGAAAAATAACAACTAAATCATATATATATATAAATTTATATTTATATATATATATATATATATATATATATATAAATTTGAGTGTATATAAATGTGTATGTATATATTAATTTATACATATATACATATATGTATAAATTTATACTCACTCTGTGAATTGAGCTTCCGGCACTGGTGGGTCATACAACGTTGGCAGATTTTTGCTCGAGACACTCAATAAAAATGTCAGTACATGTTCTTTAATCACGCACCATTTTTTATATAAAACATCAGCATTACTCTTTGCTTTACTTTGCTTCTGTTTTTTCTGATCAAACTAAAAACAAAAGTATTAAAAATAACCACCCTTCCGTACCCAAGAATAAGTCTACAAAGTTTTACATAAATTTTCCATTTACCTTTTTATCTAGCTCTGAAATAAACTCATTTGTTATGTACAAAACGATTTTGGTCTCGTTCAGAACATTGACGTCATTGTACATTTTCTTAGTGAAATACAAATCTAATTTTGTGTTCAACTGAGACCAAACCTTTCGCAAGGTTTCTGAATAGAAAGTTATGTATTTCCAATCCAGAGCGCCCAAGTGTTTTGTGACATAGTAGTAGACATCTAGAAAGTGCTGTATGTAGTCTTCTAAGTCACTTTCGCCAAAATTTCTTGTCAATTCTGGAAAGAAGAATAATAGATCAGATTATAGATAATTCTGTCTCCATTCTGACAAACTACTATCAAATAACACAACAGTTCTAGAATGGATTGCTATAGCAATTAACGACATTACACTTGTTATTTACTATAACAAAATTATTTCCTCTGACTTTTTCGACTTACCTCTACAATCGTTTGATAGATTCTCAATCCTAAGTTTTCTTCTAACACAGAATTCATTGTCACTTTCCACTAAATCGCTTTTTTTAGCAGGAATAATAAAAACACTCGTCATTTTCCGACTATTGTTAAAAACGCTATGACAGTTAAACGTTTAAAGCCAACAAGACAATGAACAAGAGATGCAATGGCTCCGTAGAATGGCGCGCTGTACGTTTGACAGTGTTGCCAGATGAGATTGTTTTTGCCGTTAAAATGACCGGTATATTTGAAATTAAATTTTACATGTAACAGTATTCTTATATAATTTTAGCAAGATAAACTAGCTGTAAGTGGAATTCTGTCTTAAGGCAATTACGGCATTGTGCCTTAAGGCAAATTGCTGGAACTTCCCGTACCAAAATTATTATTATTTTTTAAAAACGATTAACATTTTTGAAAAAAAAAATACTTCGAAAAATAAGATTTTGAGAAACTATAAATTTGACAAAAAATTACTTTTTTTGAAAAAAAAAATTGAAAAAAAAATTAAAAAAAAGAAATTTTTTTTTAAATCTTTTTTTTTGAAAAAAAAATGTTTTCTTTATTTTGACATATGTTGGAAGATCTGAACTTTTTTCAAAGCAATCGTACTGCTTTAACTGCATAGGGACAGAATATAAAGCGCGTAAGCGCCGCGCCGCGTCGCTGTCTAACGGGTAAACATTGGTACGGAACCCATAGGAATGTAAACAAAATTTATACTTACTGTTAAAATCTCTATAAAATATCTGATAATTTGATGTGCATATGTCTAATGATCATTTTTGACCGCCAAATGGCATTTTTTTTTCGTTAGATCTCCGAAACCGCTAGACCTGCCCTTATGAAAATTTGAGCAAATCTTCATCTTGTCAATACAAGTAAAATGTTTTTTGAATTATTAAAATCGGACGCTCCGTTCTCTTAAAAACTGAGGTACCATTTTTGGCACTTTTTGCCCCATATCTTTGGAACGGCTAGACCTACCTCCGCCAAAAACTAATCAGCACGTCTCCTTATCAATACGGATCGAATGTTTTTTAATTATTCAAATTGCTTCATCCGTGTTCCCGAAATCGTCGACGAAAATTTGTATCCGCACACACATACATACACGCACACACACACACACACACACACACATACATCCATTTTTTCTAAGGTATGCCAAAATATTTAGAAACGTAAAGATATATAAAAATTTTCATTTTCGATTTTTTTGCGATTACTATAACTTACCCTACGGGAAGTTAACTAGTTGCAAGTAGCATTTTGCCTTAAGGTAAGTTGCATAAACTTTCCAATACGTGGATTATGAAATCGACCTTATCAACCAGGAGTGTAAATTAGTAACTTTACTTACTTTAGTGGGGCGCATGGCATCGTGCCTTAAGGCAAATTGCTGGAACTTTCCGTACCAAACATTATTTTTTTTCAAAAAGATTAACATTTTTGAAAAAAAATTACGTTAAAATGACCGTTATATTTGAAATTGAATATTACATGTAACAGTATTCTTATATTATTTTAGCAAGATAAAACTAGTTGCAAGTAGCATTTTGCCTTAAGGTAAGTTGCATAAACTTTCCAATGCGTGGATTATGAAATCGACCTTATCAACAAGGAGTGTAAATTAGTAACTTTAGTTACTAACTAGTGGGACGCATAGCATCGTGCCTTAAGGCAAATTGCTGGAACTTCCTGTACCAAAATTTTTTTTTTCAAAAACATTAACATTTTTGAAAAATAATTACTTTGCAAAAATTAGGTTTTTGAGAAACTATAAATTTTTGACAAAAATTTACTTTTTTTGAAAAAAGACTTTTTAAAGAAAAATTTATTTTGAAATATTTTGGAAATTCTGAACTTTTTTAACTTCTCGTAGGGTTAAGTAAAAATTGAAAATTTTTACATTTCTCGACGTTTTGAAGGTTTCTGAACATTTACCTCAGAAAAAAGGATGTGTGTGTGTGTGTATGTATATATGGATACAATTTTTCGTCCACGTTTTCGGGCGCACGGATCAACCGATTTGAATGGTTCAAAAAACATTCGATTCCTATTGATAGGGAAATGTGCTGATTAGTTTTTGGCAAAAGCAGGTCCAGCCGTTACGGAGATACGGAGCAAACAGTGCAGAAAATAGAAATCGAGTTTTTGAGTGAACGGAGCATCCGATTTGAATGATCTAGAAAAAATTCAATTAGTAATGATTAGAAGAAGTGACTATTAGTTTTTGACAATGGCAGGCACAACCATTTCGAATATACATGGCTAAATATGCAAAAAATGGCAGTTTTTGAGAGAACTAAGCGTCCATTAAATGATTCAAAGAACTTTCAGCTTGTTTTAACAAAATAATTGATTTTGGAAAAAAAAAATGTATCATTTTTTAAAAAAAAATTTATTTTAATTTTTTTTACGTTTTTTGTATATCGAAAATAATTTAGATTTTATTTTTAATTCTGACAAAAGTTCTAATATTCTTTAAACAAATAATTTTAACTTTGCAATTCAGTTTATATAATTCTTATAAATATTAGACAATGTTAACATATTTATAATAATCTATTTGAAAACATTCAGTATTCCTCGAACATTTCGTTACGGTACGGGAAGTTCCAGCAATTTGCACGATGGCACGTTGCCATACACCCCACAAGTTTTCAAAGCAATCGTACTGCTTTAACTTCATCTTTTCATCATTCTTCTTTTATCTATGATACACACATACATCAATTTTTTCTAACAATAAGGTATGCCAAAATATTCAGAAACCTTTGAAACGTAAAGATAAATAAAAATTTTCATTTTCGATTTTTTGCGATTACTATAACTTACGGAAGGTTAATTATTAGCTACAAAACTTTAAAATATGACAGAATTTTTTTGGAGTGTATGTATATATATATATATATATATATATATATATATATATATATATATACTAGCAAACCCGACCCACTCCGTTTCGCCACCAGATGGTTTCGTGAGAAAAAAAGAAAAAAAATTTTGTTTGTTTTATATTTAAAAAGGAAAAATTTGATTTTATTACACAACAGTAATGAATTTATTTCGATTACAAAAATGAAGTGTTTTTTAGTTGAACTTCTCTAAGTAAATGAAAGTGAATCCGCAAATTATCCGTTTCATTGAAGTGCTCTTTGGTAAACCACATTTTTTGTTTTTTGGTCTGACGTTATCACAAACAATGCGGATGATTTTCCAATTCGTGAATAGGCAACGTATAACTGCCCATGTAAAAAACAATGATTTTCTAAATAATCTATTTGAAATTTATCCTGCAAACACTAAGCGATTGGCCTTGCGACTTGTTATTGCGAACGCAAGGCGAACTGGAAATTGCAATCGTTTGAAGTCAAACGGAAGACCAGTCGGAATCATTGGTATGTCACCAAATCGCCAACAATTTTTGATTGAATGGTGAAATTCAGTGCGTGTACATCATTTTTCTTTGCGGCAAGAATTGCTAGTTGACGTTACCAGGCATAATTCTGATAATTCTCACGATGCCATACACCATTAATTTTCTTAGTTATAAACTTTGCGAAGCCCGAGACCTTTCCAACGAATGCAAAATTGTCGAATTCGGTTCGTTCGTTCTGGAGTATATCGTCAGGAAGAAAAACCCGACTTATTTTTATAAATATGTAGATAATCTATTTGAAATTATTTAAAACAATTATTGATTATTTTCATTGCTCGAATTTTTAATTACGGTGTTTGAAGTTCCCAGCAATTTGCATTGAGACACGATGCCATGCACCACTAATTTTCTTAGCTATAAACCCGAGCCCGAGATCTTTCCAACGAATGCAAAATTGTCGAATTCGGTTCGCGCGTTCTGGAGTTATATCATCAGGAAGGAAAATCCGACTTATTTTTATATATATGTAGATGTACTTCATAATTGGCATTTATGCTATATTTATTGCTAGTGTTAATGAAATTATTATATAGATTAATTAAGGCAGTTTATTTAAATGCTTTAGACATAAATCGATTAACAACTATTTAAATAATTGAACTGCATTAAAATATATATCACAAATGCACAGAGCGTGTTTTGACTAAATATTAATCTATTTAACATCACCCAGCATTTTATAATGTAGATTTGGATAAGTCTTTAGTCTCAGAAGCTCCAACTCAGTCTGCAATTCCACTAAAGTGCATTGTTGTTCTTGAATGCGTTTAACTAGACGAGCTCTTGTTGTCACAGCTTTCATTCTAAAATAAAAATAGCATTTAGAAAGTATTTTTAAAAAAATAAGCCTTAAGATAATTTATATTCTATATTAAAGGGCTAATTTTAAAGCTTTAACAGTGTTTTGAGATGAAACTTGTAACGCAACTTCCAACAAGTTTTTTTTTTATTAACTTCCCGAAGAAGAAGTTTATGTTTTCATAAAAAAATCCTAATCGCTAATTTTATGTTTTCTCGACGTTTAAAGCCATTCTGAATCGAATGAGACCAAATTTGGTAAAAGTAGGTATGTGTGTGTGTGTGTGAACAGATTTTTTGCCGTAAATCGATGTTTTCTCGAAAACGGCTGGACCAATTTCAAAAATTTAAAGCCACTCGATGTATCTCGATGAGGACTATTGTTTGTCAGTTTTGTGCGACGATCGGCCAAGCCGTTTATTTATAAATCGCAGAAAAGTGAAAATTTTTTCGTCTACGTTTTAGCCCGCTATTCTGAATCGATTTTGAAAATTCAAAAACCATCCGAAAGATATTGGTTGGGAATCGTGCTGATTAGTTTTTGGTAGAGATCGGCCGGGCCGTTTTCTTGCAATAAAGTTTAAAAAAAAAAAATTCGACGATTTTTAGGATTATTTTTCTGACGGTAGATACCATAGGCTTCTAGATCAGACTAAAATATTACGGCCCTACGAGAACTCGTTTAACATTAAAAATTTGTCAAAGTTTGCAAAAATTAGTATCGTTTTCTTGGAATTTGTCAAAATTAGACCTTTGATCAACGTTTTCTCAAAAACGCCTCAACCGATTTCAAAAATTTAAAGCCACTCGATGTATTTCAATAAGGACTATCGTTGGTCAGTTTTGTGCGACCATCTGCCAAGCCGTTTCTTTGTAATTTGGAAAAAAGTGGTAAAGCTTTCGTCCACATTTGAGCTCATACGACCCAATCGATTTAAAAAAATCAAAAACTGTTATAGATATATATCATGGTCTTATAGAACTTACTGAAATTTTACGGATTAAATTCATCAAAGTTTGAGAAAATGAGTAGTTTTTTGACGTTTGTTAAAATTAAAAGTAGACGATTTACTTGGTATAACAATAGAGTACTTGGTCTTAATGATCATGCTAAATCATTAAAGCCCTACGGAAACTGGTTCAATTATAAAAATTGTTGATTTTTGAAAATTTGCTTTTACAAAATACTCCGAGTTAACGTGTTTGTTATATGTAATAAATCCACTCGGAATACTTTTAATCACTCATAAGTTAATTTATTTTTTATTAATCATATAACTTGCCTCAAGCAAAATTCCAATTTCAACTAGTTTTTTTGATTGTATATAAATATATAGTGCACCATATATCCTTTTCTTTATCAATAATGTTATAAAATTAGTTGGGAGGGAGGTTTTTTGCCTTATTATCTTCCTCCATTGTTCTTGAATCCTTTTCCCATTTTTTGCACTCCATTATGGCATTATAAAATTAAATGGGAGGGAGATTTTTTGCCTTATTATCTCCTTTCATAGTTCTTTCTTTCTTATCTTTCGTAAACGCAAACTAAAATAAGACAACAAAATCATTTTAAAAAATTTCTGCCGTGTGACAGCCTCCTAATATTACGCCGCCCAATTTACCACTGTGTGACACCTTCCTAACATCACACTGGTAACCCTGTCAAACTGTCAAATCCAATTTGACACTTGAGCAGTCTGACAGTTCTCAACTCATAGTATGGTGCAATAATACATCATAGGTTATTTTCTTATAAAATCCATTAATTTCTTGGTAAAATCTACAAAATGCCTAGCGAAGGAGAGATTGATTTTATGACTGAAGAGAGAACCGAAGCTGAGGGGGCTCCTTCGAGTGCGGAAGAGGATATCGTGACACCATGGAGCGTCTCTAGTGCCTCCGAGACCGGCGTCGATTATGACAAATTGATAAGTAAGAAATGATAATTGAAATAATAAATAGTTTAATAAATTTTTAAGTTTGTGTAATGTACTTTTGTTGTATGGGGTGCAGTTTTAGTCCTAGAGAATATTAGGAGATCATATCTTCATATGGTTTTAGTTTTAGGCTGGTGACATATGGACAGTAGAGAAGACTCTATTGAACAGACAAATTGCATGAAATTTAAACCAAAAGCCATTTTTGTATTGAGTCACATATTTTCTTCAATTATTAAAGCTTAAGTTAGGTAAGAATCTCAGAATTCGAGAAACCCAGCTGTAAGTCTGTAAATACTTGTATATTGACACCCTAAAGTTGTCTCAAAACCTACATATGGTAGGGTGTCAATACCATATGTAGGTTTTGAGACAACTTTAGGGTGTTAATATACAAGTATTTACAGACTTATAGCTGGGTATCTTGAATTACGAGATGAACTTACTATAATGACTGGACTAAAAGCTGGACTAAGTCTACAACATAGTCAATCATCAATCGTTGTCCTGTAACCACGTCTACAATTCAAAAGTTCCAATTTTTTTCATATCTAATCCTATAATTTTATTATTTTATTTGATCTCCTGCCTTTGTGATTTATTTCAGGTCTTGCCAAAATCAATATAAGAAATTCAGAAAAAAAATAATATTGCGGTAAAAGTACAATATCGCACTTGATTTCACCACACAACATAATTGCTCCAATAATTTAGTCTATAATTTTCATAATCTCATATGATATATTAGTTGCTTTTTGGCAATCATAGTTTCTAAAGTACATTTTTCTTACTTATAATTTAACATCATTGTTTATGTTCAAATCTTAGGAGAATTAATTTACAAAATTTTGTTCATATGTGCAATTTCAATGTATTCAATCTAAGATCAACTTATTTTCAACATCCAATGCCAAACAAATGGATTTTTGGCACATGAAACAAAATTCTAAATATTTTGTTAATTAAATAGAATTTTCTTCTGTATTGTTAAATAATTTAGTAAAGTAAACCAAACTGCAACATGCATGAGTTTAAAAACATAATGTATATGCAATTTTGGATTTATTGCATTATTTTTTAAACTGAATTATATAATTTCATCTGCCAACATATACTGTTCACTGTATCTTATATTATTTTAATTTCTGGCAGATCTCAGCTGCTTTTCGGCAATAATAATGTAGACATTACATTTTTCTTGTATATTATATTCCAATATTATCTCATAATTTCAGCTAAATTCGAATTTCAAGTGAATTGACATTTCTAGCAGATGACCGTTCAAATGTTTTTAATGTCAAACAATGATAAATGGTTTTTTGTGATTTTTGCCATTTATTTCTACAATATTACTATAGCTTTATCGTTCATTAAATCTTAAAAATTTCCTTTGACCAACTATAAAAATAATTATCGAAATTTGAATAACCATTTAGAAGTAGCTTGATATTAGTTTGTTACTAACTGGGGGCACAATAAAATCTAAAATCGTTTTATTTGAAAATATATAATCTTAATATAAAATTAAATAAAAAGTCTCAAGATCACAATATCTGTACGTAAGAAAGATTTATCTTATAAATTATTCAAAACTGTTTAGTTTTCCACAATGCCAAACCAAATATATAAATTTTGTATTAACCCTCTAACCCGGAAGATTACTTTGAAGTAATCTTCATGTTTTGCTTTATTTATAACGGTGTGACAACATAATCACATGCAAATAAGCATGAACTTGTCCCTCGTACTTTATTTGTCATTTCTTCTTCAGACACCAACATCATTTGAAGTATAGTTTGGCTTCTATAGTCATAATTGTGTAAAATCTCGAGTAGAAAGCATCAAATTTAGTGAAAAAAAAATTGTGTTTTTTGTGCCACATATTTCTTGAACCAATCATTATTTCGACATCGGAATTTTTTTATTTTGTTGGTAAGTAATCCCCCTTTCAATTATTATATATTTTATTGTGAAAAAAAAATTGTTTCGGTATTTTGAAGGGAAAAACAGAGGTTACTTCAAAGTAATCTTGCCGGATTCAGTGTTTTTTTTTTCCCCAACGCGTTTTTACCGTTTATCGCACCTTTTCTTGTTTATCTATCTCTCTTTTGTTTTTATCAATCAAAGTATAGAAAATACCTAATTTTGGAATGGAAATGGAATTTTTTCTATCGTAATAGAAATTATGTCAAACCGTCGTACCAGTGCACGTTTACTCTCCCTTTTGAACCGGAACCGCCTAAACGTGTCGAATTTATCGGAAGAAGAAGCTGCCGACTTGCTGAATTCCGTTTCTTTCTCCGATGATAACGACAATGACGATGAAGAAAATGATCCAGACTTCGAACCAGACGGCATCACTCCAGAATTGGATCATGCCATCGATGAATGCTTGCTGCTTGACAACACTTATGCCATTTTTGATGCTGTGAGTATAGCCGATGCCGTGAACATGTCACTGTCACCATCAACATCTGCACAAGATGCATTGCCATCAACATCTGCCCGTCGAAAAAAACGGCCACGTTCACCATTGCCAACTTTGGATGACACTTCTCCGATTCCGATGCCAAATAATGGTGGTTTTACTGGTAAAAGTAAGTTTCTTTTCACATCTACTCTACATTTTTACTTGAATTTAAATGCTTATCATTTCTATTATCTCTGTTTACAGCTCTTGAATCGATTTTGATCGACTCAAAGGAATTTCATCCAATTTGGAAGAAAAATTCTCTCCAATTGCATGTGAATGAAGTGGCATTCCGGGGTGATTTGTCGCTACCAGCCGAAGTGAAAGAGCTCACAACACCGATGCAATTGTTTTGTTATTTCTTTTCAAAAGAAATAATAGACATTGTAGTTGAAGAAACGAACCGGTGTGCTCTGAGCAAAGACATAAACACTACATTTAGTGTGGATGCCAATGATGTGTATAAATACATTGGCATTCATTTATACATGTCACTTTATCGGTTTCCAAATCTCGAGAGTTATTGGGGAGATATTCCATTCGAACCAATACGGCAAACAATGTCATATCGGCGATTTGAGCTCATCAAGAAATTCTTATGCTTCAGAGATGAGGCTGAACGGTCGAAAAAGGGCCAAGCTGGATATGATCCTCTGTTCCGGATGAGAATTGTCGTAAACATCTTGAACGACCGATTCGATTCCATCCCAAAGCCAGCTCGACTTTGCGTCGATGAACAGATGTGTGGTACGAAGATGGTGCACCATTTGCGACAGTATATGCCCAATAAGCCACACAAATGGGGCATGAAATTGTTCGTTCTATGTGACTCATCTGGATTTGCTTATCGGTTCGAAGTTTACAATGGTGCTGGAGACAACAAACTCGTGGGTGGCCATCCAAATCTTGGCGCTTCGGCGAATGTTGTCATGCGATTGTCTCAAACCATCCCGGATATGGCAAATCACATTGTATACTTCGACAACTTTTATACAAGTTTGCCTCTGTTGGTGTATTTGCGCGCTCGTGGAATTTTCAGTCTTGGTACGATACGAGTGAACAGAGTGCCTGGTTGTAAGCTGAGTTTGGAAACAGCCATCAAAGATAAACCAAGAGGATATTCTGAGGAATATGTGGCATCCTCATATGGCGTTGATCTAACTACTGTATTGTGGAAAGACAACAAAGTCGTTCGTTTGGCATCGACGTATGTTGGTGTGAAACCATTTCAAACCAGTTTGACAAATCCAACCAAACAACCACGAAAAGCCAGCCGATTTGTTCGCAAGCAAGGCCGCATTGACATCGATTGCCCCGAAATCATTAGCGAATATAACAAACATATGGGCGGCGTAGACTTGATGGGCCGCTATCATATTCGCGCAAAAACTCGTGATGCAGCAACTCGTTTGTTGCTGGTCGTCCATCATCCAGACTTCAAGCTTCAAGCGATTCTCGGCCATCAACTCCAGAGGTGATTCCAGGTTCTTTTCCTGTTGGAAGACGTGCGGTGCATCCAGTGGACGACACTCGTTTTGACTGTATGGATCATTGGCCACAATGGACAGAAAAACGTGTTACGTGCAAACTCTGTGCCCAAAACAAAACAAAGGCGCTAACTATGTGCATTTGCTCCAAATGTAATATAGCTTTATGTTGCTTTAAGGGCAAAAATTGTTTCGTAGAATATCATAACAAAAAATAATTAATTTCTACTACATTCCATTGTTCTTTCATTCACTTTTTTCAATAAATACCATACAGAATAAAAATATCTACATGTATCAAATTTTTCACTGAACCCGTCAAGATTACTTTGAAGTAATCTTCACCTTTTTGTACCTGGTAGCTAAACGATAAGTCAAAATGAAAATCTAATGATGCAGAAGTGTTTGTTATGGTCAAATTAGTCTAGAAAAAATTGTTCTGACTTTTTTTACTGGCTCTATCAAAAACTCGGGTTAGAGGGTTAAATGTATCCATTCTATGAGTAACAACAATAATGTGTTACATATTATTATTCTTTTCACTCTTATTATTATTTTTTTCATTATTGACATATTATAAGGTTGTCAAATATCTCCCTTTCGCCTTTTTGTATTATAAACCAAGAGCAAAAAAGCGGAAGGGAGATATTTGACAACCTAATATTTTCTTATTATGATACATTTTATCTAATTTTTATCTTTTTCCTCCCAGAAAGGTTTGGCAGTTCAAAGATTGACCAAGATGTTATAACACTAATGGAAAAAATCATAGGACGTCCAGTTCACCATTTAATCCGTCGAGGAATATTTTTCTCCCATAGAGATTTGAAAACTTTATTAGAAAAACATGAACAAGGACAACCTTTTTATTTATATACTGGAAGAGGTCCTTCCTCGGGGTCTATGCATATTGGACATCTTATACCTTTCATGCTCACAAAGTAAGGAATAGAAATATAAAAATAAATACATAAATCATATATATATATATATATATATATATATATAATTATAACTACTTCAGATGGTTGCAAGAAGCTTTTGATGTACCTTTAGTAATTCAGTTAACGGACGATGAAAAAACTTTATGGAAAAACATATCACCTGAAGAATGCACACAAATGGCTCGAGATAATGCTAAAGATATTATAGCAATGGGATTTGATGTCAATAAAACTTTTATTTTCTCAGATTTAACATTCATGGGGTAATTAGATTTAATTAGTATATTAAATAATATTAATTGAAATAATATTAATTATTTTTGTTTTCATAGACAGTGTCCTGATTTTTATAAGAATGTCATCCGTATTCAAAAATGTGTAACATATAATCAAATCAAAGGAATTTTTGGGTTCGGTGACTCGGATGTCATTGGTAAAATAGCTTTCCCGGCAGTTCAAGCAGCACCAGCTATATCGACGACGTTTCCATTTATTTTCAATAACAAAAAGGTAAAAAACAAAAGTAATAGTATATGTAGTTCCATCGTAAGCTTGAAGTGATACTTCATAATGTGTAAATGGAACTAATATGGGATAGAAATTTAATAACATTAATATTGCTCACAATTCACATTATTTTTTGCAAAAACGGAATGAATTTGTAGTTCTAGTTAGATCCACAATTTTTTTTTTAGACAAGGCCCATTATTGTCAAATAATCGACAACATTTTTAGACCATCAACAACATTTTTAGACAATTTTCAATATTTTATGAGGGCTATTTACAATATGTTTAGACATTTTACAACATTATCAGATAGTCTACAATATTTCCAGACAATCTACAACATTATCAGACAATCTATAATATTATAAAACAATCTAAAACGTCACTGGACATTATCAAACGATATACAGCATCTTTAGCCAACCTATAATATTTTCAAACAATCTACATTATCTTCAGCCAAACTATAATATTTTCAGGCTATGTATAACATTTTTAGACAATATGCAATATTATCAAACAATCATTACGGACAATCTCTACAACATTTCCAGACAATCCACAACATTTTTACCAATCTATAATATTTTCAGGCTATATATCATTTTCAAAAAAAATATACATTATTTTCGGACAATCTATAGAATCATCAAACAATCTACAACATTTTTGGTCAATTAACAACTTTTTTTTTGTCATCCTATAATATTTTCAGACTATTTACAACATTTTACTACAATCTGAAACATTATCAAGCAATCATCAATGTTTCCAGACAATCTGCAATGTTATATCAGTCAATCTACAACATTTCCATACAATCTATAACATTTTTAGAAAATTTACACCATTTTCAGACAATCTATAGAATTATCTGACAATGTATAGCATCATCAGACAATCTACAACATTTTTAAACAACCTACAACAATATCAGACAATCGATAACATTTTTAGCTAATCTATAATATTTTCATGCTATCTATAGCATTTTTAGACAATCTACAATATTATCAGAAAATCTACACTAGTTTCGGACAGTCTATAACAACATCAAACAATCTACAATATTTTTAGACAATTAACAATATTTTTTGTCAATCTATAATATTTTCAAGCTATTTACAATATTTTTCTGCATTATCAAACAATCATTAACACTTCCAGATAATCTGCAACGTTGTCTCAGACAATCTACAACATTTCCAGACAATCTCACAATATTTCCAGACAATCTATATAATATTTTCAGGCTCTTAACAACATTTTTAGACAATCTACAACTTTACAAGAAAATTTACACTATTTTTGGACAATCTATGGCATTATCAGACAATCTGCAACATTTTTAGACAATCAACAATATTTTTTTTGTTAATCTACAATGTTTTTCAACAATCTACAACATTATCAAACAATCATCAACACTTCCAGGCAATCTGCAATGTTGTCTCGGACAATCTACAACATTACCAAATAATCTATAACATTTTTAGTCAATCTATAATATTTTCAGGCTATCAACATTTTTAAACAATCTACAACATTATCAGAAAATAAAGCTTTTTTTGGACAATCTGTAGTATTATCAGACAATCTACAACATTTTTACATAATTAACAACATTTTTTTGTCAATCTTTGATATTTTCAAGCTATCAACAACATTTTTAGAAAATCTACAACATCTTTAGCCGATTTATAATATTTTCAGGCTATTTGAAACGTTTTTAGACAATCAACAACAGTTTTAGCAAATCTATAATTTTTTCAGGCTATATACAACATTTTTAGACAATCTACAACATTGTCAAACAATCTACAACAATATCAGATAATTTACAACATTATCAAACAACCTATAATATTTTCAGATAAGATGTAACATTTCTAGACAATCTACACTATTATCAGACAATCTGCAACATTATCAGGAAGTCTACCACATTATTAGACAATTTGCTGCATTTTTAGATAAATAACATTTTCAGACAAATTGCAACATTTACTGACAACAATCTACAATATTATTAGACAATCTACAATATTATTGTACAATCTACAACATTATAAAGCAATCTACAGCATTTATAGAGAATCTACAATATTATCAGACAATCTGCAACATTATCAAAAAATCTTCAACATTATCAGACTATTTGCAGCATTTTCAGATAAATTACAACAATTTCTGTCAATTTACAAGCATTTTCAAACAATTTACAACATTTTCAGACAACTTAAAATATTGTCAGACAGTCTACAACAATTTTTGACAACACAAAATATTCTTTGACAATCTACAATACTATTAGACAATTTACAACATTATCAGGCAATCTACAGCATTTCTAGACAATCTACAATATCATCAGACAATCTGCAACATTATCACAAAATCTACAACATTACTAGACAATTTGCAACATTTTCAGACAAATTACAACAATTTCTATCAATTTACAACATTTTCAAACAATTTCTGACAAATTACAACATTTTCAGACAACTTAACATATTGTCAGGCAATCTACAAAAGTTTCCGACAACACAAAATATTCTCAGACAATCTACAATATTATTGGACAATCTATCAGAAAATTTGCAACATTATCAGAAAATCTACAACACTATCAGACAATTTTCAGCATTTTCAGACGATTTACAATAATTTCTGACATTTTACAGCATTTTCAGACAACTTAAAATAATGTCAGACAATCAAATTTTGACAACACAAAATATTCTCAGACAATCTACAATATTATTGAACAATCTGCAAACATTATCAGGCAATTTACAGCATTTTTAGACAATCTACAATATTATCAGACAATTTGCAACATTATCAGAAAATCTCCAACATTATCAGACAATTTACAGCATTTTCACACAAATTAGAACAATTTGTCAATTTACAGCATTTTCAAACAAGTTCTGACATTTTACAAAATTTTCAGACAACTTAAAATATTATCAGACATTCTACAACAGTTTTTGACAACACAAAATATTCTCAAACAATCTACAACACTATCGGTCAATCTGCAACATTATCAGGAAATCTACAACATTATTAGATGATGTGCTGCATTTTCAGATAAATAACAACATTTTCAGACAAAATACAACATTTTCTGATAACACAAAATATTCTCAGACAATCTGAAATATTTCCAGACAATCTGCAATATTATTGGACAATCTACAACATTATCATGCAATCTACAGCATTTCTATACAATCTACAATATTATCAGACAATTTTCAACATTTTCAGACAAATAACAATCATTTCTGTTAATTTACACCATTTTGAAACAATATCTGATAATTTACAACATTTTCAGACAACTTAAAATAATGTCAGACAATCTACAATATTATTGGGCAATCTACAACCTTATCAGACAATTTACAGTATTTTCAGACAAATTACAACAATTTCTGACAACACAAAGTATTCTCAGACAATCTGAAATATTTCCAGACAATCTACAATATTATTGGACAATCTACAACATTATCAGGCCATCTACAGCATTTCTAGACAATATACAATATCATCAGACAATCTGCAACATTATCAGCAAATCTACAACATTATCAGACAAATTACAACAATTTCTGTATATTTACAGCATTTTCAGACAATCTACAACATTTTTAGACAATTCTCGCTTTGTCTCCTTTTACCCCTCCCCTCCATTATAGCATAAAACATTTACTCACATTAGAAGTTTCACTTCAATAAACCTATACTCAACTCAATCCATACAAACAAACTTTGTACCTATTTATAAATTTATTCCACCAGGTTCCTTGTCTGATACCATGTGCGATAGATCAAGACCCCTATTTCAGGATGACCCGTGATGTTGCCCCAAGAATAGGAGCTCATAAGCCTGCTCTTATACATGCTAGTTTCTTCCCGGCTTTGCAAGGTGCAAAAACCAAAATGTCATCGAGTGAACAAAACACAGCTATATTTTTAACCGACACACCAAAGCAAATTAAGACAAAGGTAAAAGTATAATGGGATTAAAAAACTTGGCGTAAGTGGCGTAATTACAATATTTAAAAAAACAGTACATTAATTGCAAAATGTTTGCGTAAGCATGGGGGCAGGGAGTAAGATCTTTGCTTACTTATGCTGACGAGGGGGAAGGGGGGGGGTATATAATTGTAATAAATCTGCTTACGTAATACTTGAACGGCCCTTAAAGCAAAATGCTACTTACAACTAATTAACTTTTTTAAATCGGTGCAGCCGTTTTTGAGTTCGATGGAATATCAAAAATGGCTCACACACATACACAGTTTTTCCAAATTTGGTCAAAAACGATTCAGAATATCTTGAAACATCAAGAAAATAAAATTAGCAAGTCGGATTTTCTGGCGGAAACATAAACTTCTCCTGCGGGAAATTAATTATATAAAATCTTGATATTTGTCCAGTTAGACTTTATGTAATACTTATGAGGCAAGTCTGCCGTAACAAAGCGTTGTCATGGCAAAGCTATGTTATGCTTATTTCTTAGTAGTGAAAACTGTGAGGATCATATGATAACAATAAAGAATCTGCATCATTGAAGATTCTGTTATCATAACATTCTTCCTTGCTTGTTTATATGTAAAGTATGCCTGATCGCACAGCTGAATAGACAGACAATAGCTGAATAGATAGACACAGTTTTCACTACCAAGAAATAAGCATAACATGACAACGCTATGTTATGCGGCAGAATTGCTCCATTATTTTCTTTTACAATATGATGTTTTAATAAATGTTATCTTTACAGATTAACAAATATGCATTTAGTGGTGGAAAAGTGAGCGTAGAAGAACACCGAGCCTTAGGTGGTGATTGTTCGGTGGATGTTTCATATCAAGTAAGTATCTACTTGTTTTATTCTTTTTATAGTTTTAGATTTATGGGGCTATTCTCGGATACCTACACATCTTACGTCAATAGGCCCATTAGAAGTTTGATAGCTATTCTTGGTTATTGGTTTAATCCTTTGTGGTCAGGCTTAAAAAGTGGGGAAATTTCACAAAATATCACTAGGTGAAGGGGGGAGGGTCTAGTAAGATAGAATGTTAATTTGTTTTTTACCTGAATTTATAAAAAAAACAAAATTTTTTGAAACTTTATCAGAAAATGTACAATTTTTCTGGGTACTAAAATTACACTAATAAATAATCATTACTTTTATTAATAAAAATTTTATTATATTTTTTAGTTACTTAAATTCTTTTTGGAAGACGATAATGAATTGGAAGAAATTCGAGTTGCATACAGTACAGGAAAAATGCTAAGTGGAGAAATTAAGGCAAAAGCTATTGAGGTTTGTATTGTAGTAATTGTTAGTAATTAAGTTAGTAGAGTATTCCTCATTATCTTAATAACAAATAAAAACTGTGCTTAATAAAAAAAATTCATATAATAATAGAGAATGTTTGCAAGATTGAATTTCAAAAATGTTTCTCGCTATCCAATTAACATTTTTTTATATAAATACGTTTTGAATTTAAATATTTTTGATTGCAATAATTTTTTTCCCCTTAGGTTCTTCAGCCAATAGTTGCAAACCATCAAAAGCTCCGATTGGAAGTAACAGATGAGATTTTAGATCAATTTATGTCACCTAGATCATTGAATTTTAATTGAAAACAAAATTACCAAGATGCAACTGGATTTGTGTTATTTTATAAATATATTGTAAAGCTTTGCACAAAAACTATGTGCATTCCCATTGACAGCATTTTTATATTTTTTATTTATTACATAATATTTATTAAACACAAATGATTGATTAAAGATATGTTTTATTAACTAAGTGCAAAGAATGTATGAAATTTTTTGCATATCTTCACGTTTCAGAGGTTTCTGAACATTTTGTAATATGTACCTCAAAAAAAATAGATGTGTGTGTATGTGTGGATACAATTTTTCGTCGACGTTTTCGGAAGTACCGCCCAACCGATTTGAATGATTGAAAAAGCATTCAATTCCTACTGATGGGGACTAGTGCTGATTAGTTTTTGGGAACCGGGCATCCGATTGGAAATAATTCAAACAATATTTAATTCGTAATGATTGGGAGAAGTGGTGATTAGTTTTTGGCAAAGGCAGGTCCAGCTGTTTCGGAGATACGGAGCTAAATGTGCAAAAAATGGCAGTTTTTGAGAGAACTAAGCATCCGATTTGAATGATTCAAAAAAGTTTTTGCTTGTTTTTTAACATATTTCGACTTGCTAATTTTATGTTTTCTCAACGTTTCTAGTCATTCTGAATCGATTTGAACCAAAATTGGTAAAAAAATGTTGTGCCGATATTTGACCTTTCGTCTACTATTTCTCAAAAACGGCTGAAAGGATTTAAAAATTTAAAAGCCAGTCGATATAATTTGATAAAGACTTGCTTTGAAAGTTTTGCACGGCAATCGGCTGAGCCGTTTCTTTACAATTATCAGATAAGTGCAAAATTTTTCGTACACATTTTACAAAAAAAAAAATCCAAAATCTTTTTGAAATTTTGGATTTTGAAAATTTGAAAATCGTTCGAAAGGTATCAGTTGGAAATCATGCTGATTAATTTTAGGCAAAGATCAGCCAGGACGTTTCTTCATAATGGAATATTAAAAAAGATGTTTGGGGTTTCTAATAAAACTTAACATGGCAATAAAGTTTCTGGACTGGACAATAATCCTAAAATGTTATAGGCCTATGAAAAGTGAAAAGTTAATTTATAATAAGTCATTAAAGGTTGGAGTTTGTCTAAACTTTAATTCTTTTTATAATTAATCCACTTCTCCTAGGCCTTTAAAGGGGGTTTTTACAACTGTTGACCCTATTGAGCAAACCTGAAGTTCTTCTCATGAGATTATCAATTATTATTAAGTACTCACCTGTTCCTTAGGGCTTCGTTGACTCGGCCCTCAAATGCCATATCTCTTGCCAGATTTTTTTCGTTGACTCCAATATTGAGGGATGCTATTGACCTATCCAGTTCTTGGCTATATTTCTTCTTTTGCTCAATTTTTTCGTCCAAATCATCACATTCACGTTTTCTATAAAAGGACAATAGATAAATGGAAACATTTTTGTTAACAAGGATTGAAAAATGGATAGCTTACTAATTTTGCTTCAAGAACATCAAAAAAATATTTATATTATTATTAAAAACAAATTAGTAGCAGTAAGCAGGTTGTAAGAATTTATACAGTTATGCAGAATGTTTTACATTTTTTATTTATACCAAAATTATTACAATCTGCAAATTGGCTTAACAAATTATATTCATAGTTCCTGCAAAAGCTTATTCGATAAATCTGTTATAAACTCTAACTCTAATAAACTAGCTGCACCCGTTCACGATTTGCCATGTTTTATTTTCAATTAAAAATTGAAACAAAAATACATATTTGTTACATCTAGTCTACCGGTTGTCTTGTTTTCTATAGTCTACATGTCTATATGATTATCTGTCTACTTCTCCATCTATCTATCTCTCAACCTGTCTACCAGTTTACCTGTCCACCAGTATACTTGTCAACCTGATGTTTATCAGTCTACCAATTTAGATTTTTCGACAATTTACCTATCTATCATTTTATCTGTCTAACAAATTGACTGCCTATCATTTTACCTGTCTATAAATTTACCTATCAACCCCATGGTAAATAGGCAGTTGTCCTGTCTACCATTTTACATATCCTACAATTTACCTGTCCACAAGTTTACCTATCTACCAATTAATTTACCCTTCTTCCTGTTCATCTGTCAATGTATCTATCCATAGATAAAAGAAGAGTATATTCATCTATCTATCTACCTGTTCAACTATTTAACTTTTTACCTGTTTACTTGCCTGCCAGTTTACCTGTCTGCCAGTCTGCTAGTCTACCAATTACCAATTAACTTAAAAAGATATAATTACTATAATAATTCTTACAAAATAAGGGTTTGCGGTAGTAGGTTAAAATTTTAGGCTTATGTGTTTTTTTATATTTTAATATAGAAAATTAAAAATTGGCCCAAAAAATAAACTCTTCAGGATGGCCAACCCTTATCACTTAGCTTAAATCAAAATATCCAAAAACCTGTCCGGGGATTTATCTAACGATTTACAAAATATATGTATATACATACATATGAAAAAAAGAATAATTACTGTTAAAACTTGTAAATAATTCTTACAAAATTTGAAGTTTGTGGTAGCTGGTTGAAAATTTAGTGTTATATGTGTTTTTTATATACACATAAAATAAAAACTAACCAAGAAAATAAAAAAAATGTTAAAAAAGTCTCCGAGGCAACCAACCCCTACCACTTGGCTTCAATTAGGATATCCAAAAACCTGTGTCGGGATTTTCCTAACAACTTCCCAAATTTTCACGACAATCATAACAGATTATAACTTATGTTTCATCATATTGACACTTACATGCCACCGATGACTTTATCCATTTTATTTCTAATGGCATCGAGTTCCTTCTCGAGAGCAATTGGTCCTACACTTTCTGGTACACCCATGTACTTGCGTTTTAAATAAGCTTGGATTTCTTTTGAGACCTAAAATAATAAAATTACTGTAATAAAGATAACAAATATTTGCCACGAAACTTATAAGGTTTTAATTTTTTAGTACTTGAATACTTAAATATAAAAAAAAACACTGCTATGAAAGCATTTCTAGCAAACTTTTTGAAAACAAAATATTTGAAAATCAAGAAATATCTTTATAAAGTTAATATAAAAATTTGTTCAATAACCCTTATTATTGGCATAGAATCAATATATCTAAATCTTTATTCTACTAATGTTCACTACCCCTGGTTTAATTCATCTTTTTTCTATCGATCAATGTTTTACCTTGACGTTTTCTATAGTAACAAAATTATCTTGTAAATCTTCAATCTGCATTCTCATATATTTATGTTGCCATTCTTTAAGCAAAATCTTCCTTCGAAAATTAATAGCAGCTTGCATTGTTTTTAATTTTCTTTGTCCGGCTTGCTTGATGACATCGTTTATGAAACGCACATCTCGTCTGCTTATTAGAATAGAATCCTGAAAATAATAGTTTGAGTCAAATATATTAAACTCCGAACGGCGGTAGCAATCTGAAATCCACATAGATTCCACATGGATGTCACCGCAATGAAGGCACGCTTGTGGATTTCACGTTGCTACCGCCGCTCAAATCACACAGTGTTTACTATTTAATTCCATGCATTAATAGAAATAGATAGCAAAATATAATGCCACATATGTTTAAATTTTATTCTATTAATTATATTTACCTTAAAGTCATCCAGATTCCCAGTAAGTTTAACCTCAACCAGGCCAGTCTTCATCACGTGTTGAATCTCCATGTCCTGAAAAGAAGCGATTTTTTCCTCTCGGAGCTCTTTTAGGTTTTGTATCAGCATCTGGTGATTATCTTTGGCTCGAGTCAGTTTTCGTTGGTAAACCTTATGGAAAATAATAACTTAAATATAAATATATAAATAACTTTGTAAAGAACTTTATAAAAACGTTAAGTGTCGAGTTTGTGGAAATTTTAATTCATTTGTCATAAATAGTCCAACCCTCCTGGCTGGATGCGCTTTTTTTCAAAATCCAAAAATATTTTCAAACAATATTCAAGATCAACGTTTTTCTTTGACTTTCATACTCATATTGATGCAACAAACAAACTGCTACGCCATTTGCACACCCCTATACCATATACTCGACACCAGTAGGATATAGATCAGGATTTTAAGGAAACTCTCTTGCTAAGTAGACCACAAGATGTAATAAAGTCGTACAGGTTACATTACGCAAGTGGCATATACGTAACCTAGAAGGCACACAGAAGTATCTATTTCGTGGACAAAGACGTAACGGCTGTTACGTTGCACTAATACGCCGCGGTTGCCTTTTTGCCACGTATCTAAGTTGAATAAAAAGTAAAAATACTGTAAAATTGTCTAATATTTATAAGAATTATATGAATTGAATTGCAAAGTTGAAAAGTATATTAGAATTTAAGTCAGAATTAAAATGAAAATCCGAATTATTTTCGATATATAAAAAAAAATATTTTTTGGAAAAAAAATTGAAACGATAACTTTTTTTCCAAAAGCGATTATCTTGCTAAAACAAGCAGAAAGTTCTTTGAATCATTCAAATTGGAGGCTTAGTTCTCTTAAAAACTGCCATTTTTGCACATTTAGCTCTGTATCTTCGAAATAGTTGGACCTTTGCCAAAAACTAATCAGCTCTTCTCCCAATCATTACAAATTGAATGTTTTTTAGATAATTCAAATCGGATACTCCGTGCTCTCAAAAACTCGATTTGTATTTTCTGCACTCTTTGCTCCGTATCTCCGTAACGGCTGGACCTGCCTTGCCAAAAACCAATCAGCACATCTCCCTATCAATAGGAATCGAATGTTTTTTGAACCATTCAAATCGGTTTATCCAATCGGTGGTTTCAACTATTGTGGTTTACTACTGGGTGGCAACGATAGAAGACGTTGCAGCAGCGATACAAGACGCTCAATCAATATAATATCACATGATACTTATTCATCATAAATTAATTCATATACTTATTATTATACCAAATGAGAACGATCTGCCTAGCCGTTTCTTTGTCATTTGGAAAAAACTGTTAAACATTTTGTCCACATTACCGAATTATTCGAAAGATATTAGTTGGGCATGATACTGATTAGTTTTAGGTGAAAATCTACCGAGCCATTTT